TATTATTATTATTATTATTATTATTATTATTATTATTATTATTATTATTATTATCTATTTATATTATGCAAATATGTTGCATTATCTTCCTGGACATGGGGCTTAAAAGAATACTTGCTATGGAGTTATGGATTTTTTTTTCTTTTTGTGCCTTTGAATCAGAATTGAATCCCAACAGCTGCCTAGAAAAGTCTTGCAGTTTTCTTGGCAAATTTTGCCTGGAAATGTCTTGCAGTTTTCTTGGCAAGGATTTTCAGAAGTGACTTAGCCGTTCCTTTTTGGGGCTGGGAGACAGTGATTGGTTCAAGGTCACCCAACTGGTTTCATGCCTAAGGCAGGACTAGAATTCACAGTCTCCTGGTGTCTTGCTTGGCTCCTTAACCATTATACCAAAGAGGCTTTCTAGGGTTATTCTTTAATAAAAAGAATATCACTAAAGTGCAATGTAATTCAAGAACTGATAAAGTTCAAAATTGAAATGCTTGCCTCTTAAAGTGTAACTTATTCAGACTTAACACAAGCCAACTGGGTCCATTTCCCCTGTAAGGCATAGAGTGTTTTCATAGCATCAACCAAAGCTGAAGTGATAGAAAGTGTGCTATCATTTTGCCAAACTAACAGTAATGATCTTTAGATAATTGTTATGGCCCTAATGGAGAAATTATAGTCTCTTTGGTTTATACAGTATATTTACTACGCAACCTTGTACATTTTAAAACTAATTTTCCATATTTTTATAAAGTAAAATGTTGATATGCATTTAGAAAATAAATACAATGCAAACCACTCATTAGGTTTTACTGTGTAAGCTTTTAGAGAAAAAAAACACCATATTTTAACACCAGGGTTGCATTTTTGTGCATGTTTATTGGGGGTATAACTTTTTCTTCTTGTGATACTTATTAAATAAACATATCAAGAATAGCACTATCTGTAGCATTTTTCTAACTTTTTTTCCTAGGAAGTCTGTGAATCATATATATCAATTTAAATTACCATTTAATTTGACATTTATTTTCTTTCCCATCAGGAGAATGCATACTTTAATAGGCCATCGTGCAGAAATAAGCAGCGCACAATTCAACTGGGATTGTACTCTGATCATCACTGGATCTATGGACAAAACATGCATGGTACAATAGTGTATTTATTTATTCCCCTAAAACATTTGATCCAGCAAAAAGATTCAGTTGGCTATGTCTTTGGATTTCTGAGATGTAAATCCAAGCATATAAACTGTTACACTCTAATAGAAACAATCAGAGATATGAGCCAGATGTCCTAGAACTTTGGAGAATGGTAGGTTTCAGCCAGAGCCTCAATTATAAGATATGGGATATAGATATTAAAGATATAGGCATGATCATATTGACTATACAGTACTGGAAGCCTATGGGTCAGGTTTTTGTTCAGCCATTTAGTAATATAATTGTCACACTTTTAGTTCAAAGACTAAATTCTAGAAATACCACACCAAGTGATTTCTGAACATATGTAACCGAATAGGAACAGCAACAAGAATGATACACTACATATTAACCTGGTTGGAAAAGAAACAACTACATATTGAAATCTGGCAAACTAAATCTGTCCCAAACAATTCTGTAACAGAACATCTTGCCTTAAAAATTATTTCAATAAATGTCTAATTTACATTGTCATAGAAACTATTTTTACTCGGCTTTACACTAGCTCTATGTTTTTTTAAAGAAAAAGATTAAAGGCTAGCTATACTTGCAATGAAAGTCCAGTATAACATAAAAAGGTAATGTTTTTGATTGCCTCAATTTATTTGTGTGTGTTGTTTAATGCTTTCCCTCCACATTGCAGCTTTGGAATGCTTTGACAGGCAAGCGAGTGGCAACCTTAACAGGCCATGATGATGAAGTATTAGATGTTTGTTTTGATTATACTGGCCAGCGTATTGCAAGTGCCTCAGCTGATGGTAGGTGAAGAGGAGTTCTGAAAAACTAAAATGGTTTTACATTCTGTCAGAAGGTATTCCTCTCAAACTGAAGTGCAAATGATTCCTATAGCCCTGTAGTCTGCAAATTGCTAAGTTTGAGATACAGACAACACACAGACTCATTCCTACAGCCTGCACCTATGTTCAACAGTGAAGGGACACAGGGCAAAAAACATCCTGCAGAAAGCACAGCTCCACAACACAGTCCTTTCATCTGTTCCAAGAAGGCTCCACTCCCATTTGCACTACTCAGGTGACCCTGAGGACACAGACAAACGTCTAAGTAGCCTCCAATGACTCTCTAAAACAGGGGTCGTCAACCTTTTGGACCTCAGGGACCACCAAACTCATAATTTTAGATCCCAGGGACCACTAACCGGTTCTGTGGGCATGGCCTAATTTGTGGGTGTGGCTTGGTGGTCATGTGACTGGCTGGGTATGGCTTGTATGTAAATATTATTAATATTTATATAAATATTGATTTTTTTTTATAAAAAAGAGCAATTTTTACCCAAAATCAGGCAAAGCAGGCAGATTGAATTGTTCACAGAATCACAGATTCATTCAGAGATCTATCTATCTGCCATTGGCTAGCTCAGTCTGTCACATAAAATTTGCTTGCAAGCAAACTCACAAAATTAACTCACAACACACCATGCATGTAAATATTGATTTTTTTATTAAAAAAAGAGCAACTTTTACCCAAAATCAGGCAAAGCAGGCAGATTGAGTTGCTCACAGAATCATTCAGTGATCTATCTATCTGCCATCAGCTAGCTCAGTCTCTCAAATTTGCTTGCTGTGAGTCTGCACTTAATTTGCTTGCAAGTAAACCTTCAGTCGTAAGGGAGGTTTGGCTGTGCTGAGCCAAAGATCAAAAGACTAGCTAGAAAGCAAGAAATCCAACCATTTCCTGCTTCCTAGCTAATATAAATCTCCCGGCATAGCAGAACAGATGATGGTTGGGAAAAGGAAAAATAGCAATTTAGCAGGCAAGTTTACTGGGTAAGGAGTGAGTGGGTAGGGAGAGTTCCTGCGGGCCATGTGGGCGGTGCAGCCTTGTGTTTCTGCGCAGCCTCGATTAATTGCTTTTTAGGGGTGTTCCAGGGATGAGATTTCTCTGCAGCCCACCAAAATTTTCTCACAGCCCACCAGTGGGCTATGGCCCACCAGTTGGCAACCACTGCTTTAAAAGGGTGCAAATTACCATCTGTCTGCTAGGAATATAAATCCTTCCATTCCCCAGTGTCCTATCAGAGCTGAAAAAGCTTCTTGGATGGGAAATGAAACGTCTTATAACAGAAAACAGATAATCAGAGTTGGAAGAGACCTTGTGAGATCATCTAATCCAACTCTCTGCCCAAACAGGAGATCCTTACACCATTTCTGACGGATGGAATCCAATCCCTTCTTGATAGTCTCAAGTGATGGTGCTCCTACAACTTCTGAGGGCAAGCCGTTCCATTGGTTAATTGTTCTCACTGTCAGAAAGTTTCTCCTTATTTCCAGGTTAAATCTCTCCTTGTTCAGTTTCCATCCATTATTCCTTGTCTTCAAAGAAAAACATGAAAGTCCAGTTGCCTCTTGAAAAAGCACCTTTGGGACAACTGTGACCTTGATGACTGAAAATCTCCATAGATATTTAATGTCCAGGGGTATTCATATGCTCATGTCATTTTCAATTATTGAATTATCTAATCATCTCAAAGGAATATTTCTCATAAGAATATAACATTTGAGTACATATTTTATCATACTTTTGTGAAATAAATTTAATCATCCAAAGAACACCAGAAATTTCAAATCACTTATAACCACACCTTTTAAAGCAATCATACTTTTATTTATTTGCATTGCAACCTGTTTCTTTCAATGATTAGAAAGCATTAGGGGACTCTCTAGACCATGTATGTTACTTAGAAGTAAGTTCCCCTAGAGTGAATGATACTATTTGCAAATAAACATGCTTAGAACAGTATAGTCATAAATAGAAGTGTATAACTTCTATCTATACCAGAATTTTATTTGAATTTATTAATATTTAGCAAAAATGTAATTAAGTTATTCAGCTTCTTCTCTTTTTTTTTAACCAAAGGATCAGCAAGAGTATATGATGCAGAAACAAAAAAATGTGTGGCAAAACTTGAAGGGCATACAGGAGAAATTTCAAAGGTAAAATGTTTTAAATGTTTTAAATACTTTCATACTGCTGTTCTAGCTCAAATTTTGGCAGTTCTGTTTATTTTTCATAAAATATTTTTCTATTTGAATATGACCAAGAAATGTTTTTTCTTTGTATTCTAAATATAGTTTTACTTAGTTGTGTCTCTAACTATAGGAGGAGGCAATAGCCCTCAGGGCACTCAAGTTGTTATTGTCTAGTTATTTGAATGTCAGGTCACGTGGGTATAATGCAATAGAAATTAAGCACCATCAGTTAATAATTCGCACATTTCATTGGGATAGAGCACCCTGTGGGGTAAAAGATAGTATAAAAGTTGTCATCATCATCATCATCCATTTAGAAAGTAATGTAGCAGTTACTTGGACAAACCTTTAACTGCCTTTCTACCAATCTCTACAATTTTAATCATTCTTGAGTCTTCCAATAATGCTTTCAAATTGATCATGCTTTTAAATTCCTTCCTTGTTGTGTATACATTAATAGATTTATGCTTATGCTTATATTCAAAACAAAGAGAGGTTGTTCAAAGCAATGTTGCAAATAATGTCATCTGTAGTACTTGGCTGGCCGATCACATTTTTTTTTGTACTGCCTCATCTCATTTTCATTCATCTACTCACGTCACCTACAGACTGCTTACTGTTAACTGCTTACTGTATAACTTTCCACATATCCTGTTAATTCAGAACATTGCACATTTTTCCTAGAACTTACATCTGCTTCTTTTCATTTTTACTCCTTACTGGGTGTGACATGTAACAATCTTCAACCTCTGACTTGCTAATTTGATATGCAACTATAACAATCTAGGTAACACTGTTTGATGTTTTCTGACATACATTTTAATCCATTAGTTCACAATTAAGTCTACAATTTAATTAATCTTAAATTAGTTCATAATTTTTTCCTACATTTTTTACTTCTCTAATTTTGCGAAATAATTATAAGTACCATACTGAGAAGAAAGACAGTGAATCAGTTTCTGGTGACTTGCCATGAAAAACTTCATTCTGTTTCAGTGACCTAAATCTACTTAATCATGACTAGCTTAAAGCCACCCACTTGGCTGCATGCATAAAATAGTAGTAGAAGTGATGACAAACTACAATAAAGTATTCTACTTCCTTAGCTATTTTTTAAAAATATCATTTTATCATTTTTTAAAGATCTGTTTCAATCCTCAAGGAAGTCGTATTCTTACAGCCAGTTCAGATAAGACAGCTCGCCTTTGGGAGCCCAAGACAGGACAATGCATTCAAATATTGGAAGGCCACACTGATGAGATATTTTCCTGTGCTTTCAATTACAAAGGGAATATAATTATTACAGGTAACTAGTACATAGTCTGAAATACAATTGTTATAGTTCAATTGAATTGTTTTATCAGGTAGTGGTGAATAAAAATAAAGCAATGTGACATAAAGAGTTTCCCAGTTTTTCTTAGTCCAGAAACATTTTATACATATTGGATTAAATTAGTTGGGTTTGGAGGGGATTGATGTATTTACATTTCTCATCTCTTACGTGAGAGTAAAACAACTTTCAGATTTCAATATTTGCTTACACTTCTGTCATGAAAAGGTTAAGCAGAAGTAGCTGAAGTGTTACTTCTGCATATTGCTAAACATTGCAACAAAAGAAGACTTGGAGAAGGCAATATTATTCCAGTCACATTTGCCTTTTTTTGCCTGTGATCTGAATTAGACCAGACATTAAGCCATAACTTAGTCGATGTATCATGTAACCTATTTATGGATTAAAGTGTTGAGTGCTGGCTTACTCAACATTGTAATCCATGTACGAAGAATTGTAATTGCCTCATTTTATGGTTTATTTTTAACAGTTGTATTACATATAAAACTAAGCAATATAAGCTTGAAAGTATAATTGTGGGAAGCTGTATCTTATGAGTGACTGCTTTTTGGCTTACCGTTAAAAAGCTATAGTATATAAAACTGCTTTATATTGATCTGGACCATTAGTCTGTGCATCACTATAGCATAGTCTCAGAATACACAGTTGCCAAGATTTCAAGTAAAGATTTTTTTTTTAATCCTTTCAGAGAGCTTTTATTGAATATATTTGGGCTAAAAATAATGACTTCTTCTATAATTAAAGAATAGCACAATGGCTTTTTAGGTATAAAGCCAGCAAGATTAATTTTCAAAAAAGAGTAATAACTGTGTTGAATTACTTGAGATTAAGAGCATTACTGATTACAAACAAAACAAGGATAGTGCTTGAGATAAAATATAATACTTTCGTGATCCAGCATGTAAACCCTTAGACTGTTGTTTACACATTATGGTTATAAAAAATTTTTAACACTTAATGTTATATTCTTCTCTATTTTTTAGGAAGCAAAGATAATACGTGTAGGATATGGCGCTAATTGAAACAAAGGCTGACCCACTTCTCTAGGAATTTTAATTCAGTGTTTTTATATAGAATTTTAATTCAGTGTTTTTAATCTTTTAAAAGTCTGCTTTTTGCATCTGTCCTTTATATTCTTTATGAACCAAAAATATTTTCTGGAATTAACTTGGCTAGTTATGTAAAAATGTGTTATTGAGAAAATTATAAGAAATGCCTTTTTTCTCTAAAGATCTATAGGCTAGCTGGAGTGAGGACGTTTCATCATACTATTAGTTGTTACTCTTGCATTCATTTAGATACTTTATCCTTACAAAGTTTAATTTTTATTTAATAAAACATTTCAATATGTATAATGTAGATATCATTGTAGTATTGATTGGAATGTTCTATTCATATTTTATATTTGGGACTTAATTTTGAATTTATATTGTACACTTCTATTTCTTGATTTTTTTTAAAGTGCAGTTTATATTTATGGTTTGTCCCATCCTGAAAGATTTAAGCTGAAATGAAAATGATTACACTGATTTTGGCATTCAATTGTGAGAGTCATAGTAGTATTGAAACAGCATAACCTACATGTCTTCTCTTTTAATGTGAACTGTCTTTCTTCTCAAGAACTTGATGTTACTTTTACAGAGCCTTCTAATCTGATCTGCTGCTAATTTGGGCTTCTATACGGGCAGGCTATCCAGGAAAGTGCCTGCCCCAAAGTTCATGCAATGTTGTTTATGTTAACTCTTGTATAATTCTTGTATAAACCAGAATTTGTTGATATTATTATTTATGATTCATCATTTCTTAGGCATTAGAAATGATTTTCTAATTTTCTGTTTTGAATAGTGTTAAAGAACTGTTGCTGTCAGCAAAGCATCATTGTGTTCCAAAATATCCAGATGCTGGCATAAAGCTTAGTTGTAAATGTGTGGGAATCTTTAGATTTTGTTATATGGTTCTGGAAATATCAGCTTGCTGGCTTATCTGAACTTTCTTCTACACTATGTATAGTTTCCTTTTCATGAAGAAAGCTAAAAATGTCAGGTGAAACCTTTAAACCATGGGCCAGATGCATCATGTGGTAGCCCCGCTCCTGCCCGGTTTAGCGAAGGGGGGAAAAGTCTTGATACGTCACGTGACGCTGCCGTTTAACACCCCTGCTCTAATATATCAAAGGACCACCATTTTCTACCTTACAAAACATAGCACCTTTCCAGATGTGGGAGGTGAAACCTTATTTGTTTCTGTAGTACATACCTTCAAAAAGTTTATAGAAACTATTAAATGAAAAATAGAAAAATTAAATGAAACTATTCAGCTGCTACTAAAATGTATCTATTTGCAAGCAAAAACTCTACATATCAGAAGTGAGAGAAATATTATTTGCATAGATATAGGCTTAGAATATATGATTATATGAATCTAATCATATATCTTACATTAGGGCAGGGGTCTTCAAACTTGACAGCTTTAAGTTTTGTGGACTTCAACTCCCAGAATTCCTCCTTCAGTCATGTTAGCTCAGGAATTCTGGGAGTTGAAGTCCACAAGTGTTAAACTTGCCAAGTTTGAAGACCCTTGCATTAGGGCTAAATATCAATTACTTAATAGGCTTTTAGGTTTACTGGTAGTCTGATCTTGCTGGTAATGATTTGTACAGAACTTATCTCTCCTACTAAATAATTGTATAACAATGCTTTATTTCATCTGTATCACATACAAAGGATATTCAGAATCGGATTTAAGAAAGATAAAGGCAGATTGTTAACACAAATTTATTTCAAGTCAGGCTTCAGTACTAAAATATAATATACAGAGAGAAATGTCATCACATTGTTACATTGTTATATTATTTGTGCTTGTAAACATTTATTCTACCACTGCAAAATCTGTGTAATTCACAACTAATTTGCCATTGGTCAAAAATAAATATATTTCAACACTATATCAATCTCTAATGATGTATTATTGATTTCTGAATGCAAACACGTACTGATAAACGTTTTAGGAAATGATACTTTTTCAAAGTAGACCAAAGTGCTAGTCCAAGTTCTTTTCTCATGTACTATAGGATGATGATTTTCCATAAAGCCACTTAAATTGATAGAAATGCTGACAATATTTTTGCTGTGTATATAAGAAAGGGCAGGCATGATTGGGAAATTGTGGTAATTATGGCTCTCTATACTGAATTAAAAATTGCTTCTAAAATAGTGCAAAATAATGTTATTTTTGGATACATTCTAAAAATCATTTTCTGTAGTGAAAAGCACCCCTTTTTGTGAAATAAATGTTCAATATAGTAGCGCCACAATGGAAACTATTAGCAATGATATTGGCAAGTTGTACTGGAGCTATTTATCAGGTAGTAAGCTGGAGATTTTTTTGACTGCAACCTAATGTACTTTCTTGATTACTGTATATATTAAAATCAGATTCTTTAGCTGTTACAAAAAATGAGTAGGATGAGAACTATTTTTCTGAATAGCAACGTACTAGCTTTTGACAAGCAAATTTTTCTGTAAGAAAAACCTTATGTACTATACTTCAAATATTTACAATAAAAGGATATATTAGCTTAAAGATGTTAGAAATAAACTGTTAATAGTATGAAACATTTCATCAGTACAATCTTCCTATTAAGGCATAATGGAAAACCATTATTTTCCAGGTTGGCCTAATTGAATTTATTTTACTTTGGGAGTTAAATGACTATTTACTTCCTGACTGAACCCACTGCAAACTTACTCAGAGTACATGTTTCTATTATTTATTCAGAAATTAGAAATAGTTTTATAAAGCACATTAATCATTGTTAAAACTAGGAAATGCTAATATTCTGACAACGGCCATTCAGGCTGTTGTCTAGCATTCCCAGTGAGACTAAAGAACAGAGCAGCATTATACTGACTGGACAAGAGTTTTAAGAACTCATTTAAAAAGCTATTGGGCTTAATTCTTTCAGCGGAATGGACACATTTGTGGAATGACTTTCAGGCTTTTCAGTGCAGTGTCAGCATAGACCTTGATTTGCTCCTTGGGAATGGATTGAAAGCAGAACAATATAGAATTTATTTAAGGACATGTATTTGTTTGTCATATAATCATTAGGCACTTCATATAAATATGAAGTTTTTTTAAAAACTGAATTTTGTTACGGGGATTTCAGTTAGCAGTTAGTACATAGCTGGCAGATTATGGAAAATGTCTTTCATTTAGATTTTGTAAAAAAAGAACATTTAACTGCATATCCTATTCTTTTCAAGAGCAATGCATTCAAAGCTACAAAGTCCTTCATGTAGTAATATTTTACATTGGCTCTTCACTTCTCTCTTTCTGCCCTGTGCTCCCTCCTCACTTCCCTTCTTTGCACTGCTTTGGAACAGGGTCATGATGTAGCAGCAGAATGTATACTTTTCAGCTCTATTTATGTTGAGATTTTGAATAAAACAGGGCCACTCACAGATTACTGCCGCTTAAAATGGAATAAAAATGCAAACAATATATTTTAAGAAGGTTTTTATCCTAGCTCAAGAAGCCAGTCAAAGAGACTCAGAGTTGGCCCTTCACTTTCTTCATGGAGCTTGCAAAACTGTACCACAGCATGAAAGATATCACCCACTTTCCAGCACTTCTGGTGCACAAACTGCACAACATCTAAAAACTGGAAGAAGGAAAAAAAATTTAGAGGTTTGGTTTTTCCCTTTTTCATTTCAAGCTAAGAGATCTAAACTAATACACATTAATTCACAGTGAAAACAGCTGTACCAAATATGTAGTGAAAACAGCTGTATGAACAGTGAAAACAGTTGTGCATGTATGAACTGGCCTAAGTCATCGACTGCAGACTAACAGCCACATCCACTGTGCTGATTCACATTTTGCTCACTAGCTGATCACTCAGTTAATGATTAATTGCAAATCAAATAATCCACATACATTTACTAAAGAATTAAGAGACACTTGGTAGAAATGAGGACACTATTTAAAAGCAAATTGTAAAAATAAAAGGTATGTATTTTTCCTATAGCTGACTGATGAAAACTGGGTTGTAGGTTTCTAAAACAGCTCAAATGTCTTTGTCAGTGGAAATTAAAACATCCAATACTGGATTTCTATTTCAATCATAGAGCAGCAAAAAATCCTAGAAAAGTATGTTTCATTCTAATATACATCAATTAAGCCTTTACCTTCTGACATTTTGTTTTCACTTAAGACAGTGGGTCAAAATCTACTAGCCATATTGCACCATACTATGCTACACTACATCATATACTACTTTTCTTTGGGGTTAGAAAGATTTTTTTTTGTCTTCTTGCATTTTTCAATCAGTATCTAATTGCTCTTCTTTTTCTCTTTGCTATCAGAGTATGGTATTCTAACCTTAAACGCATTTTAAATATGTTAAATATGTTTTTTTGCTTATACACTGTTGCCTATGATAGAAAGTGGTGATGGTACATTAAACAGTCGAATTTATCCAACCATTCACAAATACCTTTTCAATTCTGTGTTCCTGAGATTTCTTAAAATAGATCGTGGGTATGCCAAGCTCAGATGCAGCAATCCACTGAAGTGTAGCACGCAATTCCACATCAGGATATTCTGGTTCCAGATCTACGTTTATCACCAAGAGATCTTTCTTCTCATTAGTACTTTCAACAGTCAACCCAGACGTGCATGCTAGAAAGTGAAAGTATGTTTTTTTAATTTCATGAGACAGATGCTTAGGAAGTAAATTCCCCTGCCTCATTTTATAATGTATGACTTACCTTGTATCTTTTCTGGTAGTTTCTCACAGAAAACTCCTCCTCCTGTTAAATCACTTAAGAAGCAAAAAACAAACAAACAATGTTTACAAGGAACTTTGGCTCTTACTACATATTCATTCTTTCGGGAATCTGTGATTACTTCAGATATATCAAGAAAAGTAATGGTTTTATTATGAACTATGCAAACAAAAACCTATTGGTAGAGCAATAAGGAATGAGAGATGCTTTTTTGTGTTTTGCACCAGCC